GTTTTTATAAAAGTTAAATAATTTTTATTTCTATGACTTTTTCAGAAAGCTCTGATTTATTTTGCCCGCTTTAAAGTTTTGAAAAAAAGTTTAATTCACAAAATTGTGAAACTAGACTTTTTAATTTGCTAGGGTAACTTATAGTTGACTATATTTCCACCGAGGCCAAATTTAAAGAATTCAAACCGTGTCCCTTATCCGCCAAAAACCGGTTCCAATTGTTCACCGGCTCAAATCTCGAAACACTGAATACAGTTTCAATTGGACCAACCATGTTTGAACCGCGTATCAAATTTGAGCCGCAGCACAAATTCTTTAAATTCGGCCTCTGGTTTAGAATAATAGGAAAAGTATCCATTTGTTTTCACTCGGAACACTTTCGACAATTCTACTTTTACAATTCTTTAATTCTGAAATTATCTCATTCATCCAGTAAAAACAAGCCTTTCCAACAACTTTTGTAAAGTTTTGTGATTCTAAAATGTTGAATTTTTAAAAAATCGTTGAAAGTTATGATTATATACCTTCCGGAGATAATCCTTTAAGAATTATCCTAAATCAAAGAGACCTTGCAAACCTGGTTTAAAACTTAAAAAGTTTGCAAAATAGTATGGAATTTTGCAAAATTATGCGGAGTTTTGCACACCCCCGGGGAGAATTAAATTACGCAAATAGGAAATATCAAATGTATAGAACATTGGAGGTAATTTTAAAATAATATGCAAATTCAAATAATAGTTTAAGTGTGGGGGGGGGGTCACACTATTGATTTCAATGCTTTGTAAGATTTTGTCTTCGAAAATTAAACCCTAAAACCCTTAAGTGTAAGATTTTTAGTCTAAGATTTACTTTTGGACCCAGAAATTAAATTTTGAAACCAAAATTAAGCTGTTTGGAACCTTACATGTACATAGTAGATTTTGGAGCCTAAAAGTGTAATGGGTTTGCAGCTGAATATAGACAATTTGGACCCTCAGTAGAAAAGTTTGGAGCCTAAGACGACCGGTTTGGAGCCTGTTTAACGATGTTAGGAGCTGTTAAAGTACTAAAGAAACGATTATGTATAATACAGTAATGATTGTTAAAAGAAAAGATTGGCACGGATTGAAGCATCTACCCTGCCAAAACATTGTGTAGGATCAGTCTAATTGAACCCAAAGTATACAGGGTGGGTCAGATTACAATCAAATTTTACAAATTTTACCAATTTGATTTTTTTATCTCACAATTTGTGCGATGTTTCTAACCATGCAGTAGTTTAAAATTAATTTACAGTGTCGTGATACCGATTTTTTGCCCGTGGAATTTTAAAAACACTTAAAGAGAAACATTTGTCCTTTGAAAAAAATAATTTCGAATTTTGAAGAAAAATATCGATTTTTTAGTCTCTGTTTCCCGCAAGGTATCCATGGGTTTCCTAAATAATTATATTGATTTCGTGCTTTCGACGCTATTTCCTGAAATAAATACAAAAAGGTCCAAAATATTACAAAAAATATTCTAATGTATTTTTATACTGAACATTCTTACTTTGTTGTAGTGTTTTCAAATCTGATCTCACATTCCCAACCTTTTTTTAATAATGAATAAAAACTGGAATGAATGGTAACATTTAAAAATAACATTTGAAAATTAAAAGATGCAGTAAAATGTAAATAAAAAAGCAAAACAAGTTAAAGGAGGTTTATTTTATAATTGTTTTATTGTAAATTTATTATTATAATAATATTTTACTCTCCCCCCCCCCTGGGAGCAATAGAATACTCTAGAATATACTTCATGCTGCATAGAAAACATATCAAATTCAACCCTCTCAGAATATAAATATCTTTAGACTCAGGACAAACATTGCTGGAATAATTTCTCGCTTTACGAGAATACGAAAACAGGCTTTTTTCGGTTCAACGAAATGGGATTTGTATTCAAACAACAGAATGTAAAAATTTGTCATCTCAATGTTTTCTTTTGTTTTTATTCACACTCTTAGCTCCGGTTTTTCTAAAACTTACCGGGAAGTTGTCGGCGTGCACGGCGTTGCCAGTAGAATTTCAAAAATTTTCAAAATTAACCTCCTGCTTAGAAACGTTTAATCTGAGGTTTAGATCACCTCTCCATCGTAAATTAAATAGGTGGCAAGTTCTTATTTCTAAAATTTGATTTTTTAAGTGTTACTGGCGTTATATGTAACATCATGCATTTGCACGCGCACATAAAATTTCAATGCTGAAGCTCTCTTGATATTTAAGATTGTCCTGTACCCACAAGTCTAACCGGCACAATTTGAATTCAATCGTTCAAAACTTAAAACTTTAAAAATCTTGAAACGCACCGAGTTGTCTTTTGATGTTTTTTTCATTTAAATGCTTCTGACAACAAACAAGTTTTTAAGAGAAAATCAAAATTTAAGTTTAATTCAAGTAAAATTATTATCGAAAATGACAGCTATGCTGGGATAAAGACCGAACTGTTAAATCTGCACGTGATCAGATAGACTGAATTAAGATAAAACATATGCGACATTACTGGGACAATTTTGTAATGTCGTAGTTCCTCTAGTTTTGATTTTATGCACCTGTAGCCTGATTTTTCCGTTTGATTTAAGAACATGTTTGTTCTTCTCAATATCTCTTCAATACATGGAGTTATAATTGAAAACATATAATATTTTAATTTTTCCTGAAATTTACTTTATTTTGACGTGGGTTCGGTGTTAATTTTCTTTCTAGAAACATCGGAGCAATGAGTGTGATGTTTCCTATCAGTACGGCACCCGGGCCTCATTCCAGTATATCAGAAGGATGCCTGCACTCTATATTCTCAGGCCTAAGAAGAATCTTAGGCAGCTGGAATCTTGTCAACCCTCTTCTCAGAATGAATGAAGCGTGGATGGATGAATGTGCTGCCAGATTACAACCCCTGGTAGATCAATATAAAAACCCAGACAACACCAATCTTTCGCAATAGAAAAAATTCCGAGATTTGATCGTAACAACCCGATCATGTCCTGGGGACAAAAAAAATCTCTTTTTAAAAAAAATTCCTGAACAATCCCTTTAAACTTTGTTTTTTAAAGAAAAAACTATTGTATTGTTGGGTTGTATAATGTATATTGAAACTGTTAAAGTTCAGAAATGTTAACAAAGAAGAAAAAAGGGAACTATTGGAAAATATCTATTTCAAAAAGATCATAAATCATGACAACTCTATATTTTATATATAATATACTGTACAGGGTTATAATTGATTCTAACCAGAGAGAAAAGAGTGAATATTAAACTATAATATTTTAAACCATATCGGGTTCAATGCATTGTAAATAAATCCATCATAACATCAACTTCATTTGAACAAAATAAGTTTTAATAAGGAACCATGATTACTCCCACTATACATTATAATCCCTCTATCTTTGCAACCTGATGTTGTATACCTTTTATATTTCAAACTAAGACAAAAAGTCAGCTAAAAATATTAAGAATATTTACCTTCAGGTCACACAACATATTAGACGTATAAGCAATGTAGATTATGTGGCAGTTGTTCAATTCCTTGAATTTAGATGTTTTGGATGCTTTATTTTTTGAAAATCAATCATAGTCAATCCAAGAAAATATGACTCTAAGCTGTTATGGTACATCATAAAAGATAAAAATTTTTCGAATAGTTGTAATATTCACTTTTTAATCTCTGAATATGTAAACAAAACATTTTTCAGTGTTAAGCTAAATCGACCAATCAAAAACTAGCATTCTATTTACCAAATCATAATGCTAATTTTTCATTGGCTACAACCAAATACAAAACATCTGCTGATTCAATTATTATAAAATATAAATAAAAGCAGTTCTAAAGATACAAAGATTATATTCATGGTTCTAAGTCGGGCACAGGGGTACATTTATAAAAATGTTATTCATAAAATAATTACGTATTCTACATATGGGGAACAATTCTTTATATCTAATTTATGTTGGAGCATTAAACAAGATGTCCCATAATTTATTAATATTTAAAATTTTCCATGGGTACAAAATTATTCAATACCATAAATTAAATATGATCAAAATCTTAATGCAAGATTCTGTCATTTAAAGATTTGTTAAAAAGCTGAAAAGTCAAAAAACATTTCTTCAAATATTTTGGGACACACTTCTGGCTGCTCTTGGAATATGTACGATTCAAGACACTCTGAGATTACTCTGTAAATACATTTTGAAATAAACAATATTTTTGAAAAAAAAATCTTAAATCTAGTTATAGAAAACTCTAATGGATTTCCATGTTTATTTTAGTACATATTTCCGATTTATTAGTTTATCAAAATAGTTTCAATAAATAACTGATAATGGGAGAAAATAGTTAAATAACATGGTACAAACTTAACTATTTTATCGTACAGATTATGAACATCTTTTAACAAGCAATCTGTATGAAAAATTTCAACAACCTTTCATAGTTTTGTTTAATGTTAATCGGTTTTTACAATTTTTTAAAAAAAACTTACAGAAAAACTTTATTCCGTTTCCTTTGATTAAACTTTGCAATATTTTTATCCGAAAAAAACAGGTAAAACCAAACAAAAATCGATCGTTGTGACACAAACTCTGATCTTCTAATCCCTATATCTTTGCAACAAAATGTCGTGTACCTTAGATATTTCAAACTCTGAATTTTGTTTAATATTCATCGGTTTTTACAAAGGTTTTTAAACAATTTACAGTAAAACTTCCAATATTTCAAAACTTTATTTTAAACTTTGCAATATTTTCATCTGAAAAAACAGGAAAACCAAAAAAAACGATCTATGTGCAGACACGTTTGTTTTTGGTTAGTTATTTGCATACATTTTCTCTCAAGGTCAAAAGTTAGCATAGTGTAAAAAAACAAATTAGAATAAAGAATTTGAAGAAAAGGAATTGGATGTTTGCCACAAACTCTGATCTTTTAATCCATATATCTTTGCAACACAATGTCATAAGATATTTCAAACTCTGAATTCTATTAGATTAAATAACCAAAGTTTGAAATATTAAGGGTTTGCTAAATTGCACCATCAGGTTGTAATGAAATACGGGTTGGAAAATGTTAGTTTGTGGCAAATTCTCAATTCTTTGCTTTTCTTAACTATGTCAAATTTTGATCCTAAGAGAAAATATTTGCAAAAAACGATCCAAACCGATTTACAACAGCAGGAGTGGGAGATTTACAACAGCAGGAGTGGGAGATTTAGATGTTGCGTAGTGTCTAAAATTGCTTTGTGACGTTTTAAAACATGCTGAAGAACCAGTTTTATTGTAAACAATCCATGCCGGCCCTTATTTTGTCAAGAAAATACAAGCCTGGCCTTGTTTACAATAAAATAGAGCTATTCATGTCAACAACCCTTACTCCTTACCTTTTGCCTCATTTATTCTATGCAAATCAATATTTGATCAAATAGTGAATATTTAAACACTTTTTACCAATCTCAATTTAATCATTTTCTGTTTGATATTTTTTTTTGCAACTGCAAATGTATTTTTACAATTTTATTTACAAAATTATTAATTAGGTCGCAGCTATGATCTTGGATTACGAATATCAACAAATATTTAACACAGTTGGTATACTTTTATATTATATTGTATAAGGTTGGAAATAATTATAATAAAAGGTATTTTGCTTGTCACTACAGGAAATGTAGACGATGTTTAAACTGATCTTTTATTATGGGTTGGCATGCCCTATGCACAAAGATACCCCTTAAAATGTTAAATTCTGACAATTATATACTCCTAATGTTTTAATCCTCTTAAGCGACTTTTAAGAGAACTCGCAAAAATTAATTTAAAAAAGAAAAAGAGGGAAAATTTCATTAGTTTATCCCAGAAAAAGGCCTAACGAATATTGTTGTAATTCGCACATGACACTTTACACATAGTGGGTTACTTGAACTAACACTTACAGTTCCCCTTCGCTTAAATACACGATGGAAACTTTTACTTCACGTAATATGGCTTACACTTGGCTTAACATGGAATAAGGAGCCGTAAACTACATACTTTACATGTCTTAATATGAACAAAAACTTGTCCTCTGTCACAAGTAACATTTTTTTTAACCATTTTGTCTAATAAGTAGCGACACAAATTGACAATTGCCATGAAGGTCTGAAGAATGTCATCTATATTTCTGCAATTTCTGCATTTTTACTTAGGTAAGTATTTAAATCATTTAACACATTTTTAATGTTTTTCATGCTTTGGGAACAGGTCCGATAGTGTTTTTTTTCATCGACATCTTAAAACTATGTTTGTCGACAGCTGAAACAGATTTCTCCTCTAAACATGCTCCAATCCTTTCTTGACAGTGTTGCCAAAAAAGATTGCAAAAATAATTGCAAATATCTGAAAGAATAAAATATGGTTGAATGCATAAATTTGGATTTGCAAAATAATCACTGATGTCAATCAAATATGATTCCAAGTTCTGGCGAAATAATTACATTTTGATTACTTTTTGTCCTCAATTTTTTTCACTAAAACTATTTGTTTTTGCAGATACTGTCATGCATTTTATATGATTTTGTTTTGCATTGTATTGTATTGTATTGAATTGTATTGTATTGTATTGTATTGTATTGTATTGTATTGTATTGTATTGTATTGTATTGTATTGTATTGTATTGTATTGTATTGTATTGCATTGTATTGTATGTATTGTATTGTATTGTATTGTATTGTATTGTATTGTATTGTATTGTATTGTATTGTATACCTGTATGAAGAGAAGTATTGAAGCTATTGTATAGAAATATACAATATTCTCCTCAAATATCTGATACAGGGGTGTGATGCAACCGGTGGTATGGATTCTCAAGCTTGCCTAAAGAAGAGATTATTTAAACACATTTTTTCCTAAAAATAATATAGACGCAGTAGGTTTTTTTTTTACAGTTGACAATTTAATTTTTTTCTTAGAGATTTACCAATTTGGTGAAATGTAAGAAGTATATTATTTTTTTTTCGGCAGATTTACGAGTTCCAATAAAGTTTAAATGCTTAAAATGTTTGATCAGGTTCAGAACATAATAAGTGTAACTAAATTTATGAAAACGAACGTCGGAGCCCCATTCAACTCTGGGGCGACTTTTAGACTCTAAATATCATGGTTATAAATAGTCAAATGAACATAAATTAGTAATAAAGACCCATAACATTTAATAAGTTCAAGCTACTTGTAAAACTATATGCTTAAAAAAAACCTCAAAAACACAAGTTTAATTGGTCTCTGTGTACTCTTCTGTTTCACATTTGACCGATCATTATTACGACGTTAAATATTTAAGTGGTTCATCTATATATAAATTTGGCTTGTCTGTCTGTTTGTTTGTTTGTCTGTTTGTATCCAATAAACGTCAAAACGGCTGAACCGATCGGGCCCAAATTTTTTGTGGGACATCACGTCACGAGTGTGACCACAGGGAAGGTTTATGAAAAATCAAAATTCTAAATATTTGTCTCCATCAAAATTCGATCGTCATTAAATTTTTTAAAATTTTGAACATCCGCGAAATTTTTTGTGAAAATCCGCGAATTATTTTTGTTTTGTTTTACGATGTACACAAAGAGAACGTGTTCACAATTAATTTAGGAGATGGGCGCGAAGCGCCCTCTAAGGCTAGAAAGAAGGGCGCGAAGCGCCTTGAATTTCTAGTAAATATAAAAATGTCTAGATATATATATTTATATTATTTAATGTAGATTAAGAATAATAAATACAAAGTGTTTTCTCCAGGGATATTATATTAAATAAAAAGCTGACTATAAACATATTGTAGAGAAGATGGTTCATTAATTCTAATAAGTTCACCAGATTCCGTCTCCTATTTTTGAATAATATAGCAAACTCATCATATTAAACAGAAACTTTGTCAGCTAATTTAATTGATAAATAATGACTCTCTGATATGAACTGCTGGGGGGGGGGATAGAAATTTTCTAAATCTAATATACCTTTTTCAAATGGGTTGTTAATTTTATTTCTTTTAATCTTTTTACTTAAAGAACACCATCAATGATTCACTACCTTTTAACCTGATAACCATAACAAATTGATAATGAAGATGTGCAATTTTTTATTTGAATCAAATTTTAATCAATTGACCAAAAAAAGAAACATGTCATCCTTTTACGAAAAGTTTTAAAATATTTCATGTATCTATCTACCTTTTAATAACATATTTTTATCTGTCTCTGACCCCAAAAAAAAGAAAAACGCCTTCCTTAAACTATTTACACCTTTTAGAACATATTTTTCAATTTATTTCAAAACAAAACAAAATTGTAACTCGGTTCTAAAAATAAATTTAAAAAATTGAAAATATTTAAAATATAAAATGTACATATTTTCTAAGAAAGAAAAGTTAATATATTCTGGTGGAAACCTAATGCGATTTAATTTGTATTGTATTATTGTATTATTATATTACATATTGTATTATCGTATTATTGTATTATTATATTATTATATTACATATTGTATTACTGTTAATATAAGAGGTAAATGATCCCAGACATTATTAAAGGAAAACTATTCTTTGGAGAACGGTTGAAGTTTGCCTAGGAATACAATTACAACTAATGGAACCAGCAAAAAGTGAGCCTAAGAGGGGGAGGAGGGTTAAATTTTTTCCTTTTTAACCAAAAGTCATCGACTATTTTTCGATGCATTCGTATATAGATAATATTTCATAATATTTGATTTTATTTTTTTAAATAATGTTTGGCTGGCGCTGGATTTTCGAACATTCCTGGAAAATATGAAAATTTCGCCTTCATTATAAAAAATTCTCGAAACAGGAATAACTTTTTTCAAAAGTAACTCTTGGATCATAAAAAATAAAAAATGTTATAAAATATTAACTATATACTAATGCGTCGAAAAACTATCGATGATTATTGGTTATAATATCTGAATGATTTGTTTGGAATTGAACAGATTTTTTTACGATCCGAGTTGAATGTTGCAACTTTCTGAATTTGTATGGACGCTAAGTTCGCCGGTATAAGTCGTTTTTAACAATTTTCTTCTTATAGACGCAATAGATAGAAGTAAGATTAGTAGCAATCAAAAGTTCTTTTTATTCGCCGTAAGCCTATACCCCCTTTCAATTTCTGCGAACACTCCCTTTAAGCAAAAATCAAGAAATTAGATAACCAGATAATACTTTTTATATTTAAGACTTGGTCGACTTTGTAGTGCCGCAACGCTATGGCCTGTGATTGTCAATCACTAATTCACTGATACTCTTTGTAGCCCTAGACATGTACATCTTATAATTCTGAAGTACTTGTTTGTAGCTTAAGTTTTCGATAAGTATATTTGACAAAACTCTTTTAGTTTGAGAGCTTGCAACCTTTGGATTACTGCAGTGAGATTAATAAACAACAAGTTATTGGTCTCTTTTGCATTTTTCCGGTCTAATTCACCAAAAGTACAAATGTGTCTAAAGAAAAGGACGCTCCCGTGGGTCAAGATATAATTTGAATAAAAATTTAGCTTGTGGAGACACTTTTCAGGTCTTAAAATAATGTTTTTTATGATTTTTTTAAATGTTTTCAACTTCAACACCATTGATGTCGGTCTGATTAGCGAAATGGGGAAATCATTTCGTAAAAATGTCGCCGAAAGTTTCGCATTTTTCGAATTCCGTTCGTAGAAAAAATGCAAACTTTTTCGTTTTTTGCGTTAATCTGTTAATTTGCGGAAAAAATTTCAAAATTTTCGTTTTTTCGGGAAATTTCGCATTTCTTCTTTTGTGAAATTTTGCACTTTTTCACGAAACAGATAAATGCAAAATTGCTCATTTCCTCGCAAAGTTTTTGTTCGCTGGAAACTGGATACCCTATGGCGGTCACTCCCTTTAAGAATGAAAGTGAAAGATAGATTCCAGAAACTAAACAAGAATAATTTGTTTCTAAACTTTATTGGAGTTTTTACCGTTCTATCAATCTTACCCTGACATACAGACAAAATTTATTTGGCAAACATTTTATTCTCAATCTAGTAGAATATACACAATCCAACCAATCTAATCAAACCAGAATCGGAATTTATGTCGGACAGAACTTCTTCCCTCGTCAATAATTCAAGATGCGATTGCAGTTTTACAGAATACAAACCTCAGAAAATATTTAAACTTGAATTAGGATTAAATCACTTAATCCATGCAGTATGGTAGAAGGACTGTTGGGTGTGAGTTCCTGACCCTTCAATTTTAGAGCCCTGGAATAACCTAATTATGGTAAACATGGTTTATGGGCTCTGAAATTCCCTGATCCTGGTATAGTTTAAGGACTCTGGAATTACTTGATCCTGGTATAGTTCAAGGTCCCTGGAATTATCGGGTTCTGGTAAAGTTTAAGGGCCCTGGAATTACCTGATCCTGGTATAGTTCAAGGACCCTGGAATTACATGATCCTGGAATGGTTTAAAGACCCTGGAATTACCTAATTCTCATATAGTTTAAGGACCCTGGAATTACCTAATTCTCATATAGTTTAAGGACCCTAGAATTACCTGATCTTGGTATAGTTTAAGGATCCCGGAACCGCATCCAACAACATCAGATAAACAACATGAGTCAGGAACACTGGCTCTCTATAATACGTGTTGTTAATTGTTTTGGTTTTGTTTAATAAATATTAAAACTTTCAAATTTCAAAACTGAATTATGTTAAATGTTTGCTTTTATTAAACTCTGCAATATCTTCTTGAAAAAAATATAGTAAAATACAAAAACGATCGTTATAAGTGACGCTACTCAAAACAGTGACCATCAATCAACAAACGTTCGTTTTTGCATCGTTTTGGTTTGTTCCTTGCATATATCTGCTGTCATATTAGAGTGTCCAATTTTCCGCCAGAATATTTTCCGGCGGAAATTATAATCAACGGAAAAAATTCTGGCGGAAAGGATTTCTGCCGAAAAAGTTTTCAAGCGAATTTTTTTCTCGGAATATCCGGCTTCCGGCGGAGAATTTCCGGAAGTAATGGTTTCAAGAGTAACGTTGTAAATCAGGCATTGCTATCTTTGCATGGGAGTAACTTAAGATTACACAGTCCCTTTAAACTTAAAGGGAGTTTTCGCGAAAAATGAAAGGGGGTATAGGCTTAATGCGATAAAAAAGCGCTTTTGATCGCCACTAATTTTACTTCTATCTGTTGCGTCTATAAGGAGAAAATTGTTAAAGACGTCTCATACCGAATAACTTAGCGCCCATACAAATTGAGAAAATTGCAACATACTACTAAGACCGTAAAAAATCAGTTTAATTTCAAACAAATCATTCAGATATTACAACCTATAGTCTTCGATTATCTTTCGCCAAATTTGAATATAGTTTATATTTTATAATATTTTATTTTTTTTAGAAAACGTTTTAACGGATTTCGAAAAATGTGAGTGGTGCGCGGCATTCTTAGATAGTTGCGCAAGCGACAAGAGAAATAATCAAATTCAAAACAAATTAATTAAAAAATATTATAAAATATAAACTATATACAAATGTGGCGAAAGATAATCGATGACTATAGATTGTAATATCTGAATGATTTGTTTGAAATTAAATTGATATTTTATGCTCTAAGAACACTCCCTTTAAAAACACGTAAAATAGAATTATTAGTTTAACCCTTGCTGGGTTTGAATCGAAGGATTATAGTTAAGGGCTAAATATCAGGGTATAAGGGTAATACAGAGATTATCTAGGTAGTATATCAGGTACCTGGAGCAGAATAGGATTATATCTAAGTAGTTTAAGATGTACCTGAAGCAGAATAGGATTATATCTAAGTAGTATAAGATGTACCTGGAGAAGCGATGTATTCTCCCAATCTCTATAGTTTCTCACCCCGCAGCATCCAAGCTAAGGTTATAAATATTGAGATCCAGATTAAAGAAAGTTTCACAGAATTTCCAACAAAAATCCTAGTTAAACATATTTTGTTGTCTATTTTTGAAATTTGTATGAATAATATTTAACTATTCTGATTTTTTTATTTTTCCCTTTAAATATTGTGAGAGTAGGTGTGTATTAAATATTTACAGGGATAATCTAAACTATTCTCTACTCCCCCAGCTCTCTCTACCCTCTCTACCCATCCTCAAACTGCCAGATAACTTTCACATCACATTTTACTCAGCACACCAAACTCAATTATGACAGACGCACAATTTATCCTTCCATTTCTTTTATTTCTAAATAAGAAACTGTGTCGAGGGAGGGATGTCTATTCTGTCTATTATTCTCGTCTAACCCCCCCACACATGTCTTCGTCCATTCCCCACAAATTAACAATCCGTATAGGATGAAGGAGGAGGAGAAGGATTTGTCTAGATGGAATCTAGACAAATCCACAGCAATATACATTTTTTGTGGTCCATTCATGCACAAAGTTTAGATTATTGTAAATTATGCTGAGCCGAGGGGAGCTCATTTAAAAACAGTCTGGCTATCTTGTTGCTCCCCTGTCATGATAAAAATACATGTTTTTGTTTTATTTAATATTTATGTTTAAAGTTGTGTCCTGTAAAATGATCTGATTTTGCTGCAGGTACAGAGCACTCTTATTTTTCGGATAAAAGTAAAAAATGTTCAACGATATTCCAGACTATAGACTACACACTAGTCTAAAAACTGCATGATCCATGCCGTTAAAACATGTACTGTACATATATATGCAGTACGTCATACTGTTCAGTCAGGCTACCCAGTGTCGACCCAGCAGGTTGTATGCAAGAAAAGAAGCCTAACAAAACCATTGTACAATATCAAATGAAGACGAAATCCGTCAGAGGAAGTGATTTAAATATGTATGATTTGTGAACAAAGACCGTATTGACTAAACCTGAATTTTAAATTGATTGGTTTCATTCTTTTTTTTCCCAGCTTGATTTTTCTAAAATGATATAATTGTCAAAAACTTTGTCGCTTACAATAAAGCAATCCCGTTTATAGTTCGTCGATACTAGTAATTTCAATTGGGAATCATTTAATAAACAAAGAAAGGAATTATTTTAAATTAATTTAACGATTTAAGTAATGACTGAAATAAACCAACTATTTTGATTTGAATTTAAGGTTCAATTCCAAAAGAGTAAATTTAAAGGAAACAATTTAAAGGAGAAACTTGATATTGTCCGGCCATCAGATATACATTTAGTGTAACAATAAACCCAAGTTTACACTTTACAAGAGAATTGGTTTAACACATTAAACAAGAGAGACAAGATTTACAACCTTTCTTTCTTATATCCGTTCTTCTTCAATACACTCAGTTATAAGTCAAAATATAACAAATCTCAATTCTTTAGTCCTTCATTTCGATATTTTTTTCAGTCATACAATTTTCTGACTTTCTCATATGCTTGACAACAAGGGCCCAAATATATATATATAATTTAGGAAATGTTCATTCTGGGCCCAAATATATATATATAATTTAGGAAATGTCAATTCTGGGCCCAAATATAAATATATATAATTTAGGACATGTCAATTATGGGCACAAATATATATATATAATTTAGGAAATGTCAATTCTGGGCCCAAATATATATATATAATTTAGGAAATGTCAATTCTGGGCCCAAATATATATATATAATTTAGGACATGTCAATTCTGGGCCCAACTATATATATATAATTTAGGACATGTCAATTCTGGGCCCAAATATATATATACATAATTTAGGACATGTCAATTCTGTGGCCCAACTATATAATTCTGGGCCCAAATATACATTTAAAATTTAGGAAGTGTTAATTCTGGGCCCAAATACATATATATATATATACAATTTAGGACATTCATTTCTGGGCCCAAAAATATATATATAAGTTAGGACATGTCAATTCTGGGCCCAAATATACATTTAAAATTTAGGACATGTAAATTCTGGGACCAAAAAGGGGAAAAGCTCCCAACCTTTTCACGTAGATCAAAGAACTAGTTCCATTTATTGTTTTCATATAAGCAAGAAATGCGCAAATAATTTTTGCAGAGAAACCACAAGTAAAAATAAGCAGTTGGAAAAACAATACAAAAACATGGATATCTACTACTTTAAATTAGGCTTACAGACCCTTTAAGTAAAATGTTAAAGAAAAGCCGTGAAGTTATGAAGCTAAGTGTCTCCTTTATTCCCTAGATTTAGCCTCCTAACAAGATCACATAAAACAACCATTATTCTTGTACTCCAGTCAAAACCAGTCTCATCCAGCATACAATTCGTCAAATCAGTCTCATTTATCATGGGGGGGGGGCATGCCATACCACCAAATATTAGAAACTTGAAAACTATCGAATCAAGAGAAAGGAAGGATAAGAGAACTTTTTGTATTTTTGTTGTATATTATAGGCATTCATGTAAAAAAGACGGTCGGTGATTTTAAAAAAAAGGCGGTCCAAATTATTGTTTTTTATTTTTTACTTTTTATCCTCTTTTTTCAAAATACTTAACCCTATTCCCGCTGGGGGGGGGTCAATTTGACCCCCCCCTGTAGTTTTTTTTACATAACTCAAAAAGTATTGGTCTGAGGCTGTTGAAATTTTCTGACTTTTCTTACATACCCAAAGCCCTCCCTTTAGGCCTAAAACCGGGCTTTAATACTAACTGCCTGAGTCCTCAGGCACACTGCCTGAATGACTGCTTTTGCCTGTAGCAAACTAAATCTTTGTTTTGACCCACTTTCACTTGTCAGATTTTGATAAAATTTAGCTTTTTGGAAAGCCTATGACATAAGGAAACGGATTGCACAAGTTTTGCGAAAAAAAAATTGCAAATTTTTTGCAAACAACCTGTCAAAGGAAATTTGCACATTTTTAGTTTTTCTTGATTAAAAATCAGGTTATTTAAAATTTTGCAAAAATTTTTGCATATTTAAAATGGCATGGTCAAGGGCTTTTCAAAAATGTATAATTTGTCATTTTTTGGACAAATTTTTTTTTGCAAACATTTTTACTATAAAACTGGATTTTGCGATAAAAAATTCAATTTTCGCAAATTTGCAAATTTTTTTGCAGATTCTAAAAGTAGAGCACAAGAGCTTTCTAATGATGTATCATTTGTCATATTTGGACATAAAACATGGGATTTAGAGGGGGGGGGCAAAATGCACCCCCCCCAGCGTATCCTGGTTTTCAAGTACCCCAGCGGAGATAGGGTTAAGAGCACCATCAACAACAAATTTTCTTAACATTGTGCCCTGTCATCTATTTACATATAAAGTTGTCATTTCTGTCTGAGTGTCTGTCTGCTTGTTTGTCCGATCATAACTCAGGAACCCCTGGACCGATTTGCCTCAAAATTTGATTGTGCTTAGCTTGGATTTGAGATTATAAGTTGAGTGGGTTTACTTTAATAGTTAAAATTTAGTTTCCCGGTATTGTCGTTCAAGTGGGGGTAAACGGCGGGATTAACTTTTGTGAACTTGGAAGCGCTGCAGGGTTACTAAACTAATCAATCATACAGTGATAACCAGAAAACTCTGGAGTAGGAAGACGACTTTGAGAATCAAGTTTTAACTTTAAAAAGTTCAATAACCATGAAACACAGAAATTGTGCAGTGTGAACAGACCCATTTAACAAAAAAGAAATTTTATAAGTGTCTGGTAAAACAATTTGCTTCGTAACACCATCAAATGTACTTAAGTATTGCTATAATGTCGTCTACCTATTCCATTGTTTTCTGGTTATAACTGTAATATATTAGAACTGAAACACCAACAATATATAATCTGTACCTTAAACATTTTTAAGCACTCTTTTAAAGGAAAATACAACTCACACCAAAATTAATAGTTCTTTTCCAAAACAGAACCCACCTTTCAAAAAAAGTAAGAACACCCATTTTGAAATTATTCACCAAAGTTAATATGTGGTAGGACATAATTGAATTACGAATCGTTGATACTTCACCATTAGTTTCAGCAGAAGTAAATATTTCCATTTACTGTTAGCACAGATTGAAGAATTCATAACTCTGATTGGATAATGAGATAGATAGAAAGATATATGTTACCGCCATACTATTTCTATTGGTTCAGCATAGACACCAAACACATGACTAAACTCGGCATATAAGAGTGATATACTTACAAAATTCTCAAAAAAAGTGCTTATAAGTATGTGTCAAATGGTGAAACTTGGAATTTTAACTCTCTTTTAAGTTTCTTAAGCACTCTCTTTTAGAAAATACATCTTGCATCAAAAATAATAGTTCTTCTCTCGAAAACAGAACCCACCTTTCAAAAATAAAATACGAATACTCAATATGAAAACTGGGAGAACTCCTACTACTTCTAATTATTCATCATGTTCAAACTTTGAAATTAGGATTATATATGTAGCAAACTTGTATTTATAGAGTTGCGGCAGACTGGCTCCAATACTCAGGTAATGTTTAATATATTTAAAGAGATATATTTGATCGACAAGAACAATTTTTTTTACAATATAATAATTCGCTCTTTAAAGAGAATTTGACATACTAGGCATATTTTTATTAAAGATTTAGCGTTTAATTGTTGCTCTTTTAGTGTCGACATTTTTTCCGGTCCAAAATGTTTAACTTTAACAAGCCTTTCAAGGTCATATGAGTCACCACAAAAAATTTGGGCTTGATCAGTTCAGCCGTTTTGACGTTAATTGGATACACATAAACAGACAGACAAGCAAGTATATATATCTTTCTCCACAGACACTAACAGAAACAAATTTGTTGAGTACAAACGAAATACGTTTCAATTAGGTCTACAAGCAAAGAGAATAGAATATATATTGGAGAGGAATTTACTAGAAAAAAGTGTAAAACGGCCATTTTGTTGTACTGTTTCCATACTGCGGGTGTACTTCACTTATTTATGCTATTCAACCTTTTGGGCATATAATTTGTGAACATTTACATAATTTGTACACTTTGAACTCCCTTTCAGGCTGAAAGGGACTGAAAAAATTCATACCGAGAGATTCTCTAAATTCCCCTCCAATATATATTCTATTCTCTTTGTCTACAAGCTATAGAAATGTAAACAAATCAGAGAAAAATCATAACAACGGATCGTACTGTATTGTTCATCTCAAAACCGGTTAAATGTCGACAACAAAGAGAAAACAAAGAGGAGACGATAAGAGCAAAGGGAAGAGAAGAAATGAGATAAGAGAACATAAGAGTAGAGAGGAGAAGAAAAGAAAAGATGAGAAAAAACAGGAGAAAAAAAAGAAAAGATAAGATAAGAAAGGAGAATAGAAGAAAGGAGAAGAAAAGAAAATAGAAGAGAAGAGTAGAAAATAGAAGAAAAGAGAAAGAAGAAAAAATAGATTGCGTGAGAGAAAGAGCTGGCTTTTTACAGACGTTTTATCATAAAAATATGCTTAAGAATACCTTTAACTTTAAAATTAACTTTATTGTAAAAATGTATGATATTTTTGAAAACAAATAGTTGTCCTAACTATTTACCATACATTTTTTTGATCATTTAAAGATTTTTGATCATTTGGCATTTGATATTCTTATCTTTTTGCGTCAAAAACCACAGTCTGTCCCACTTAATATAACATTAAAAGACGACAACTGTATATAAGTTTATACACTACAGAGGTATCTAAAAAGAATAAGACTTTAGTTTGAGTCTTGTTTTAATTTCATGATTCCTTTCATGCCATTGAAAAATTGTTTCTTTATTTGACAAATAATCTAGAAGGTTGTTCAAAGACGTACTTTGTAGCAAATGCCTTACTCCAACAAGTAACAATACAGATAGGACCTTATGTAATTCAATATGTATCATACATATTGAATTACAACTACCTCTCGAACTCACTATTAATCCAGATAAGACGCTGTTGTATTCTTTAGTTTGTATCATACAGATACAACTACCTCTCGAACTCACTATCAATCCAGATACGACGCTGTTGTATTCTTTAGTATGTATCATACAGATACAGCTAGCTCTATATAATACTTAATCTCTATTAATCCAGATACGACGCTGTTGTATTATTGTTGTCGCTAAGAAACAAGATTCTGACGATGAACAGCTAGACAAGGTATAACCCACAAATCAAAATCGACAATGCAGAAAACTCTTTATTTCCTAAAAAAATAACGAAATGAATGATGATAAATAATTATTACAGGGTTTACAAATTTATAATGAAAAGATTCTTACGATCTATTTTCCTATTCGGGGGCTATCTGTCGAAAAGTCCGAAGACGCTTTTTATACATTAAAACTTCTGAAAAGATTGACAATTAAATGTTGATGAAAGTCACTAATTCTTTAAATAGAAATGTTTTTGTTTAACTTTGAAATGGTTCACAATTGATAAACGTTTTAACTCCGTCATCGGAGAACAAGGAAGAAAGGCGGGCTGAAATTGTTTGGTTTGGATTCTTGTCTCCGAGAGGAGCATTTAAGTTGAAGACGACATTACATAAACTGCGGGGGGGGGGGGTCTTAATGTTAATGGTTGACAATTATTTAGTATGTATCACTCAAATACATCAAGATCTCTTTATTGCTTAATAGGTATCCCTGATACAACTAGAGCCAACTCTTTGCTACTCTTAAATTAATTAACGTAATTAAAGTAAATAGTAATACATGGTAACGACATACAGTGAAACCCTTAATAACGAATATATCGGAAGAATTTATCAAATGTCGTCTTGACAATTTTTCAATGAGTTTTATACTATATTACGTAAATTTCAGTATTTGCGAAAATAAATAAATATCCATGAATTTGCGGGAACAGTTTTAGAGAGTTCCATATAATCATTTAATTAAAAAACTAAATATCTGCAACATTCCATTATCAGAAAGTGAAGAATACGACATTTGATGAATTCTTTCGATGTATTCGTTATTAAGGGTTTCAGTGTAGACCTATTAGAAATTGACATACGTAATAGGGTACAGGCAATCTTAACACGCTGTGTATAGATACAAATATATGGTTGACCACGACTATGTATTACAACTTTAGGTAAAATAGCAAGGATACCTCTCAGATTGATGTATCTTTTGAGCTTTAAGTCGTCGTAAAAGTCTTTTCCTTTGTGGTTTACCCTGTATATGTATTGTATATATGCTTATAGATATTACTACTAACTCAAATTCAACAATTAGATACTTAAATTCAAAGTACAATTTCTCAGCAATATCTATTCAACTTCAATATCTTTGATAACTAAACTAAAATTTACTATATATCTACTGAAATATGAAATTTAAAATACTTGTCAAAAATGCACATTTTTCAAACGCAGTCTGTTTTTAGTTTCTAAGTTTTAAACTTTGGAAATTTATGGCAACTTAAAATAAAAAATGTCGAGATTGTTATGTAAAATGATAAATGCTGACTTTTTACAGTCAACATGATAAGTAAGTTTTTTAAATTTTAAAATTTTTGTCTTGCTAAATCTTTTTTGTAATGCATTTGATTGTTTAAATTGTTTCTAATTTCAATGATTAAAAAAAAAGATTTTTGACCAGTTTTTGGAGACTGTAAGTGTAGAGCCGTATTAATTATTTTTAGTGATCCTCCATTTTTTAAGTGGCAACGACGTCTACAGCCCCTTCAAATATTTTGATGTTTCTACCTAATGTTGAATATCTAGATGTTTCTACCTCATGTTGAATATATAGATATGTCTACCTCATGTTGAATATATAGATATGTCTACCTCATGTTGAATATCTAGATATCTCTACCTCATGTTGAATATCTAGATATATCTACCTCATGTTGAATATCTAGATATATCTACCTCATGTTGAATAACGTTCCATGTTTCCGTGACTCCTCCAAATCCTGTCTTCTGGAAGTTTTCCATCCCTGCCACCAGGTTCTTCTCCAGCCATTCCATCAACTACAACAAACAAGTTTTTAAACCAATCTTGAACTGAATTTAACGAATTAGTTAGGTCGGTTAGGTCGATAAACTACATACTTATCGCCGATTCAAATTCTGAATCAGCGATTCAAATCTAGCTCAATTTCATTTAATTGATCGATGCACTTGTAAATTCTTAAATCGTAATTAATAATATTAATAAACTGTAATTTTAATATTTATCAAAGTGTATTCTGCCAATTACCGAACTTTTGCTTGACTTCATTTTAGACTAGATTGCTTCATAGTATCTAGCACCAATTCAAGATAAAAGAAGGATCTTGATTTTGCCTTTTACTCAGGACACCTTGAAAAAAAGGTTCTCAGAGGCTTAATTATTATCCAAATACAATGAAATTAATATCACAATGTCTCTAGAAAAAGAAATAGAGTTCTCAAACTCAAATTTTATTTTTTCTATATCTTTGCAACCCGATGGTGTAAAAATCTGATATTTCGAACTTACACTATTTGATCCAACCTAATTGAGATATGTATATTGGGTTGCAAAGATATAGGATTTGGTAAATTGAAGAAGAATCAATTCCTTTACAGTGAAGGAAGTGTCACCAATGACGTAATGAATAATTGTGCTATCATATATTGTTCCTGCCTATCTGCTTGTGACACCCTGTAGTAGATTATATTGTGACATTATTATAGGTTATAAAGGAACTAAAATAATTCTAAAAGAATCCTTTAACTGACAATGTCAGAGATCTTGAGTGTTATTAGATTTGATTGGTCGAATTTATGTCAAAAATGCTTATCATAAACTTTTAAATTCAAGATGATAAAGTAAAGAATCAATTCAAAGGAATTGATTCTTTTTGTCACAAACTCTGATTCCTTTATCTTAGCAACCCATCCCAGTGTTGTAGACCTTAAGATATTTCAAACTTTAAATTCTGTTAAATAAAAAAATCTAAGTTTACATCATCAGGTTGCGAAGATAAAGATAAGAAAATTTGAGTTTGTGACAAAGACTCAATTCCTTTCAGATCATTTTAATCATTTCAAAATGGTTTTGCATTAAACCATTGAACCATTGAACCATAAATCAATAAAACTTTAAAAAATTAAAATTTGCAAGTTTTAGTTATTTAATTATATTAAATTGGTCTTACCTTGTCCTTTGTATGATATGCGACAAGACCGATGACGACCTCCATAGAGAAAATGGCGGTCAATAGTCCAGTATACAGACATGTTATGCTTGGTTCCTCCCTAGACAAAAACACTGTACAGACATTTTAAAATATGAATTCTATTAGACCAAATAGTCGTAAGTTTGAAATATCAAAGATTTACACTATCATGTTGCAAAGATATAGGGATTATAAAATTTTTGCTTGTGGCAATTCCTTTGGGATGAATAAGAAAGGGGTATAAAATAAGAGGGTTATGTATAAGTATGTATATTATACTATATATAGATACCATTTGTTAAAGAAAGTTACAAGGTTACTTTGCAAACAAAACAGTGTACATTATAATATATACATCATAGTATAGAACAAATATACCAGGGGAGGTTGGGGGATAGTTTAGATCAGATGAAGATAGTTCAAATTATAATATTGTTTTTTTTTTTTAAATGCGATCCAACAAATAATTGTTTAAAAATACACTACACAATAAGTGTACTGTCCCTTTTTAGTCATATTCAGTCTCTACATGTGTGTACTTACTGTACAACTTGCACAAGCTTCCTTAAAGTCAGTCCGTGGTGCTACCTCTAAACAACCACAGATATATTTGTGGTGCTACCTCTAAACATCCACAGAAATATTTGTGGTGCTACCTTTTAACAACCAGATATATATTTTTGGTGTTAGATTTTCCATATTTTTCCAAAAAGAAGAATACCCAGAGTAAAAAAGAATATTTGAATTTTTGACATTTTTTTTGCAAGAGTCTATTCTGTTTTATCGTTGAAATTATGTACTTCGTTAATTATCAAAGCAAATGATTATATTAAACTAACTTTGATTTGACTAATCATATTTACCCATTTCGTTGCAATTCAGTTAGGTACTTATAGGTAGGTAATAGTAGAATAATTAATTTAGAACAAATAATCATTTTTAAAAAACTTTTTACGTGTTTTACACAAAAAGTTATTAAATTCATAAATGCAAATGCAAAAAATTAATTTGTTTCTAGTTTCAAATTTATTTTTAAACATTGGATTCTGAAAAAGATATGTCGTCAACTATCAAGTAAAGAACGTTTAACTATGATTAAAACGAAACGATCGTTTTCTAAAACGCTTGTTTTAAAAAGGACTGTTTTTAAACAATGACAAACGAAGTATTCTTTTTTAAAGCTCTTCTTCCTTTAACGAAGGAGTGTCGGTAAAAAACGGTAGTTAACGATAGTATTTAAACTAAGGATCGTTTCTCCGTTTTAATAAGCGTTGCCCATACCTAGATATAATTTGTAACGTTTAACCATTAATTTGTTGCATTGTTGCTTGTGAAGCAAAAATGGATGCTGCATTAAATGATAAGGAGTCGAGTGAGGGGGGAGGGGAGGAAAATGTAGAAAATATAATCTAAGTTTTCTTCATCTTATCATATTCTTAGTTTCTCACTTGTAACAGAATACATGAACAATGTACACTCTAAACCCGCAACATCAGCAGATAAACAACAGATAAGAGGGGTGCATTGTTTTCTAGAGGGTGCAAGAGGGAGGGAGAGAAGGGAATGCATCCATTGCAATATATAAAGTACACTTTTTCATATTATCAGCATCAGTTTCGGGATTTGGTAAAACTATGTGCGAATTTATATCTTTATCTTTATCTTTACATTCCTACTTTTAACACTCAAGAAAGTACAAGCAAACGAAACCTGAGACTACAACTTGAGACGTTTCACTTTGATTGAATCAAGTTTCGGATATACTGGTTCAGATGTGTAAATAATTATAATAATGATAAATATTTTAGTTTTCATAATATTTAAATATATATGAGATCTATATCTTGAGTATACCTTTTAACGAATCCTGAGACTCAAACTTGAGAAATTACACGTTGATTAAACAAAGTTTCGGAAACTGGTCTGGGTTTGCAAATATTAATAGTTATAACAAATATTTTAGCTTTTAATAATATTTCTGCTAGGATCTTTAATTGAAATAAAAGGCATAATTTCAAGTAAACCTAAAAATAAAGATTTTCATGTCCGATTCACAACGGTCCGGTATATAAGGTACCCTTTGAACCTATAATAAACTGTGATAAACTTTATTGTTTCAGTTGCTCAAATACTTAATTAATTCTCAATTATAGCTTTGTTTCTCGCTTGACAGCCTGTGGATCTTTTCAGCCAGGAATCATATCTTTTATTTCAAATGCTAATTTTTAGCCACCAGACTTCTTAAAGGAACCCTCACCTTTCTCTGCCAGGAACTCCAACCTTTCTAAATCTAATTTTTGTAAAACTTTTCAAGTTAAATTTTTTGATTAAAGACTGATTGTACGGGAGACCGACTGAAAACAGTTTCGGCTAGTTCCGTCTCCCTGCCATAAACTGTAATTTCAACTAATGTTAATTATAAATATCCATTTTTACATGTATAGTTTGTGGCTAAATATATAATTTGATTTGATTTGATTTGATTTATGATCACAGATAAATGACACATTCTAAGCGTAAAGTTTCAAATGTGGTTCCTTTGATAAAGTTACTTGCGAATTTATGCAGCAGAGATAAAGTTGGAATATTGTCAGATTTAATCACTTTTCAAAATAGAAAACCGAAGATATCTTCATCATTGTTACTTTTGAGAATCTCATATATCACTCTTAAACTTGAGGGTTACTTGAGATTACGTCACAATCCCTTTTATTTAAAAATATTTGGAGAACTTTAAAGAAAAACATCAAACTTACATCTTTGTTAAGATACTTTTTTAAGATACTGGTCAAGAAAGCCAAGTTTGATTTATTGAGTCCCTTGACATTTATGTAGATATTCAATAAATGAATGAAAACTTGTGAGACATTTTTCAAAAGTTTTTTAGAAGTCATTTACGCATATTGATAAACATTAAAATTTTAAAAATATTGCTGTTTCATAGTTTCCTGAGCACTTTTGATCTGAGGATATAAGTTAATTTGTAGGTCTGCAAAAGATGGAGATTAAATCTTGATCCTGGGATTCACAACACAAAAGCTCTGCCTTTATGTAGAGGTGGGAGGGAAATCTTGAAGCTTGAATATCGATATCAAGCATTGATATCAATCTTTTGTGTCGTCTGTGGAAAACAACAGCCAGGAATTTTGCATCCAGCCAATGATCCAAAAATCAAGAAATCCTGCTGATTCTGCGTAAAATTCAAAATGTCCATTGTGGATATCGAGATCAAGGGATTAAGAATATGGGTATCCAGCACAAAAGTTATCAGACAAATTTAGAAAAATTTTGTATAAAATGATGTCATTTTCTAGCGAAAGTCTGTTCTACATGATTGATGTTTTATAATAAAGATATTACCTAATACTACCCCAGCAGCCGAGCCAGGCCAAACCAGAGATAAGGATTCCACAAAGGAGAAGAATTAAAGGGAAATTCACTTCCTCACCGAAATAACTACAACATATTTTATATAAAAGGACTGATCGGAAAAAACTGAAACTTGTTGAAAATATAAATTTAACTTTTAATATTCTCTTATTTTCATCATGATCTAACAGGATATTACTGTATGATATCAATACTACACTTGAAAGGGTCTGTATAAACGTTATTTGAAATAACCTTTATTTACAGAGTGTTATTTACAAGTATGAATTAGATATCCGGCCATGTTAATCATTTTGAAAACTGATATTTTTAATTGTAATTTCTCTACAAAAGTTAATGGCGCATTTCTAATGCAGGACAACCATGGAGAAATTATCAAGTGAAGATCGTTGTAATAACTAGTTTCTGATCAGGTGTAGATCGTTGTAATAACTAGTTTCTGATCAGGTGTAGATCGTTGTAATAACTAGTTTCTGATCAGGTGTAGATCGTTGTAATAACTAGTTTCTGATCAGGTGTAGATCGTTGTAATAACTAGTTTCTGATCAGGTGTAGATCGTTGTAATAACTAGTTTCTGATCAGGTGTAGATCGTTGTAATAACTAGTTTCTGGTCAGATGTAGATCGTTGTAATAACTAGTTTCTGATCAGGTGTAGATCGTTGTAATAACTAGTTTCTGATCTGGTGTGAATCGTTGTAATATCTAGTTTCTGATCAGGTGTAGATCGTTGTAATATCTAGTTTCTGATCAGTTGTAGATCGCTGTAATATCTAGTTTCTGATCAGGTATAGATCGTTGTAATATCTAGTTTCTGATCAGGTGTAGATCGTTGTAATAACTAGTTTCTGATCAAGTGTAGATTGTTGTAATATATAGTTTCTGATCAAGTGTAGATCGTTGTAATATCTAGTTTCTGATCAGGTGTAGATTGTTGTAATATCTAGTTTCTGATCAGGTGTAGATCGTTGTAATATCTAGTTTCTGATCAGGTGTATAGATCGTTGTAATAACTAGTTTCTGATCAGGTGTAGATCGTTGTAGTAACTCGTTTCTGATCAGGTGTAGATCGTTGTAATAACTAGTTTCTGATCAGGTGTAGATCGTTGTAATAACTAGTTTCTGATCAGGTGTAGATCATTGTAATAACTAGTTTCTGATCAGGTGTAGATCGTTGTAATAACTAGTTTCTGATCAGGTGTAGATCGTTGTAATAACTAGTTTCTGATAACGTGTAGATCGTTGTAATATTTAGTTTCTGATCAGGTGTAGATCGTTGTAATATCTAGTTTCTGATCAGGTGTAGATCGTTGTAATATCTAGTTTCTGATCAGTTGTAGATTGTTGTAATATCTAGTTTCTGATCAGGTGTAGATCGTTGTAATAACTAGTTTCTGATCAGGTGTAGATCGTTGTAATAACTAGTTTCTGATCAGGTGTAGATCGTTGTAATAACTAGTTTCTGATAACGTGTAGATCGTTGTAATATTTAGTTTCTGATCAGGTGTAGATCGTTGTAATATCTAGTTTCTGATCAGGTGTAGACCGTTGTAATATCTAGTTTCTTATTAGGTGTAGATCGTTGTAATATCTAGTTTATGATCATTTGTAGATCGTTGTAATAACTAGTTTCTGATCAGGTGTAGATCGTTGTAATAACTAGTTTCCGATCAGGTGTAGATCTTTGTAATATCTAGTTTCTGATCAGGTTTATAGATCGTTGTAATATCTAGTTTCTGATCAGGTGTTGATCGTTGTAATAACTAGTTTCTGATCAGGTGTAGATCGTTGTAATAACTAGTTTCTGATCAGGTGTAGATCGTTGTAATATCTAGTTTCTGATCAAGTGTAGATCTTTGTAATATCTAGTTTCTGATCAGGTGTAGATCGTTGTAATATCTAGTTTCTGATGAGGTGTAGATCGTTGTAATAACTAGTTTTTGATCAAGTGTAGATCGTTGTAATATCTAGTTTCTGATCAGGTGTAGATCGTTGTAAACTATCCTTTCAAATTTCTCAGTTTAATTTTGAAAATGAATAATTCCTAACTCTCTCCCTCCCCTCATAGATTTTAATTAATTCATATCATGTAAAGTTTAGCCACAGAATAGATAGATAATTGAGGTCAGGGTTGTCCATCTATACTTTCTACTATCTGTGTAATCTACAACATGGTTTGTCCTATCTATGTAATCTACAACATGGTTTGTCCTAACTACGTAATCTGCAACATGGTTTGCCCTATCTATGTAAAATACAACTTGATTTGTCCTATCTAAGTAATCTACAACTTGGTTTGTCCTATCAATGTAATCTACAGCATGGTTTGTCCTCTCTATGTTATCTACAACGTGGTTTGTCCTTTCTTTGTAATCTACAGCATGGTTTGTCCTATCTTTATAATCTACAACATGGATTGTCCTATTTATGTAATTTATAACATGTTTTGTCCTATCTAAGTTATCTACAACATGGCTTGTCCTATCTATGAAGTCTACAACATGGTTTGTCTGTCTATGTTATCAACAATAAGGTTTGTCCTATATCTATGTAATAAACAATTTGGTTTTTCCTATCTACTTAATCTATAACGTGGTTTGTCCTACCTACCTAATCTACGACATAGTTGGTCCTATCTACGAAATCTACAACATGGTTTGTCCTATCTACGTAATCTACAGCATAGTTTGTCCTATCTACGTAATCGATAACATAGTTTGTCATATCTACGTAATCGACAACATAGTTTGTCTTATCTACGTAATATACAGCATGGTTTGTCCTATCTACGTATTGTACAACATGGTTGGTCCTATCTACGTAATCTACAACATAGTTTGTCTTATCTACGTAATCTACAGCATAGCTTGTCCTATCTACGTAATCTATAACATAGTTTGTCCTATCTACGTAATCTAAACATGGTTTGTCCTATCTACGTAATCCACAATATGGGTTGTCCTATCTACGTAATCTACAACATGGTTAGTCCTATCTACGTAATCTACAACATGGTTTGTCATATCTACGTAATCTACAACATAGTTCGTCCAATCTACGTAATCTACAACATGGTTTGTCCTATCTACGTAATCTATAACATTGTTTGTCCTATCTATTTTATCTGTGAGGTAAACGCACTGATGCAAATTATCCAACTTTTCATCCTCAGCTTTTAATTAAACAACTTTTTCATAAAGTGGAAAATATCAAAGGGTTCGGATCCAGATTTTAGCCAATCTCGGTTTTTGAGTTAAAAACAAAATTTTGATTGACATTTATTTATTGTTTACTTCAAAGACACGTCACAACTGATTCAATTTTAGTTTCAACAAAAAATCTGTTGAAATATAATTTTTTTTTGCATACATTTGGTTTATCAATTTGGGATAATTGAGATGTCATATTTGAGATCTTAAGTTTTAAAAAGAAAAAAAAAATATATATATTGAGGATCAACTTTTTAACTAAAACTTGTGTTTAATAATCAAAAGTTCATTTTATGAAGCATGAACATATCAGGTTTGTTGTACATATGTTAAGACTTCTACGAGGTATGATCAATATGACAAGGACTGCAATAAAATAAACTCACATTTTTTGGCTGTTGGTGATTTCGGGATGCCTATATGTACGTAAAGGATAGATATTTCGCGATAGTTATTATCCTATCTTCGAACCAATATGATCATAAAAAAAGAAATATTACAAGGCATCAGCTAATTTCAAAATTTTAAGAACCATAATCAAAATCATAAAATACAAAAACATTATCTGGAAAAAATCATATTTGCAGGATACACTGTAAATTTATAATAAAGTACAGAACACAAATTTTAATCTTATAATCTTAAATATTTTTATTGTGTAAAGTTTATTTAAATATTAAAATTAATATAACATAAATATGTCCAAAATGAAGATGAAATAGAATTAGGGAAAGGTGGATAGAGTTTGTTCTTAAATTCAACTGTGCACTTTTGTAGTCAGCGTTCATATTAATACAATGAACAAGACTTTTTTATTTAAGTTTCGATTATTAACTAGCTTTTTCAGATTAAAAGTTTACAAGTAAACAAAGAGAAATTGTACTGAACTTCCTGTTCTGTACTGTACTGCTAACCTGAGGTAGTTTCTGTAAACTGCATGCAGTACAGTTCCACTTGCCAACAACAACAAGCCCAGAATCTGTAAACAAAACCGTTATTCTTTTGTTTGAGATATAAACAAGTCGAATTCTTAGTCTTTGTTGAAAGGAAAACCGTGTATTGCAATTTATGGATTGCAGTACTGCAGTACATTTTTTGCAAACTAAATTTTAGCAGTTACAGAGGTGCTTTTATATATATATTTGATTTTTTAACCCAGATCATGTATTAACATACCATATTAGATTATCTTCAAGTTTTAACGACAAAATAAACCCATAATTTTCGAAAAACCTATCATTTCGTACAAGAAAGTTCTTAAATAAGCCTTCATTCTTCTTAAGTTTTCTGATTAGTCCCGAAAATCGTAATTTAGACCGATTGACGATCTAATATGATGTGGGACACCCTGTACTTTATAAATATGATGTGGGACACCCTGTACTTTATAAATATGATGTGGGACACCCTGTACTTTATAAATATTATGTGGGACACCCTGTACTTTATAAATATGATGTGGGACACCCTGTACTTTATAAATGAAGAGCACACTGAGAACACTAAACATAGAAACTACAGTTTCTGCTCTGAAAGATCTATATTTAAACTAAGAAATGTCTGTTTCTGTTTTTTTTTTCATCTACTAGAGCAACTTTATCTTAAAAACCTTTTAGATAGTTATGCAAGTTATATCTGTAAAAAAGTAACTGTTTCTCATGTGGATAAACTTAGTCTTTGCTATCTTCTTCCCCCTGTAATTCATAAACATGATTCTAATATTGTATGTTACCCTCTGTTACAACCCCTCCGCTGAGTACCCACCCTTTCCCTTATACTTTTCACCACCTTCTTACCTTAGTAATGATTATCATCATTGTTTTGTTTAAAATGTACACTGTGCAGTGTTCATCCATCTATTTATTTACAATTCTTATTCGATTATAGTGGGCCAACCAATCAAAACAACCAACTCTGGTTAGGGGGGGTCCAAACTACATAGTAAATTGTGATTTTTTATTTGTATTATCTCGTGCTTTGTAGTTGAATGAAAATATGAATGAATGAATCTAAAAAGGATAATTTTAGTTTTGTTTGCAATTGCATGGTTAAGAATATATCTGGCTCTTTTGAAAAATCTGTTGTAACTTCTTGAGAACTCGTGGTTAGCTTTAAGTGATGAATGATATAAACAAATATAACTTTCCATACAAGCTTCTGAGGAGCCCGGGGGGGGGGGGGGGGTTGAAGAAACACATTTTGGTTTATACTTTTTTCTTGCTACCTAGTCTACCTACACTCTACAGGCCTGAAATGCTAAGTAAATATAAAAACATTATTTTCTGCAACTTTCCCCAGGTAAAAGTAATATATTCCCTCTATTCTATCCAACAAAATGATGAAATTGGAAACAGCAGACAAAACAAACAAAATCTAAATGGATTGAAACCAGTGTTAAAGAGATTTAATAGATTCCAGTTCAAAGATTATCTCTTGTCAGGAATTCAAGTTAGGTTCAAGTATCATTTTCATTTTCTCATATTTCATTTCATTCTGTTCTTTTACTATGTATTTTATTTATGAATATTAAGAAACTAAAAAAATAATATTTCAAAGTAAAAATATTGAAATCCACAAATTAAAACTGCCTAACCCCATTCGTGATACCCGGGTTCTAAAACTGGTTTTCATAACGATATCCTGTCTTAATTTTTGGGCTCAGGCGTACTTCATGCATTTGTTCTAATCCCTGTTCTGTGTGTTCAGTACACAAACAGATTACACCAGGCAAAACGGGACGGTAGACCAAATAAACCGGACCTTTCTAGGGAAATTCACGTGGAATGGAACCAAATAAATTTGCTTTGCTCGTTCTTGTGTCTAAAATCGAAATATATAAGAGTTATAAGCTCACAAAGTCGTAATAGTAATGACTCATAAATTATACCTTCTCATTTCTGTTTACACTCCTGTTTCCCGAGTCCATTGGCGCCTGATCCAATCGGGGTTCAGTCATGTGTAATGATATTTTCATTTTTTTTTGAAAAACGATCGTTTCGTCATGAAAACGATGACAAAAAACGAAAACGAAACGATCGTTTTGCAAAATGATTGTTTTTACAAAGCTCGCCGTTTCGTTAACGATCATTAACGACGACCCTTCGTTAGCGATCGTTAACGACGACCCTTTGTTAACGATCGTTAACGAAGAGAGGAGGAGAGAGGAAATCGCCCTGAAGGGCATCGGTACTTATCATTGAGAAGTTATAGTTATTTCGAGAAGTTTTAGCTACCCCACAACTTTTTACCTTCATATAAGACGACATTCGATAAAGTTGCGTGTATTTTTTTTCAAAAACGATCGTTTTGTCAAATACGACAGTTTTTATAAAGTTCGTAGTTTCGTTAACGATCGTTAACGACAGCCCTTCGTTAACGATCGTTGTCGAAAACCCTTCGTCAATGGTCGTTAACATATTTATCAATGAAAAAAATATTTCAAAAACGATAGTTTTTTAAAACGCTAGTTTTTTTAAAACAATCGTATAAAAACGATCGCTGATAATTTTTATAAAAACGATCGTTTCAAAACGAATGGGTCGTTTTTAAAAACGATCGTTTTTTTCCGAAAACGAAACAATCGTACTTGAAAACGATTGGAAAACGAAAAAAACCGATTGTTTAACAATCGTTTTCAAAAACGATTAACAACCCTAGTGTTTGTTGTCTATTCTGAAGCAATAAAAATAGTATGGCGGTATCATCTATATTTCTATCTATCTCATTATCCAATTAGAGTTATGAATCCTTCAATCGGCGCTAACAGTAAATGGAAATATATTCTTCTACTGAAACAATGTTGTTGTTGTTCTACAGGAGTACATCTATAAGATTTGTAATTGTTCCCTGTTTTATCCTTCTAATAATACTAAACTATCCTTGTAAGTCCTAGCTTCTGTTTAGTAGAGTACAGGAGTACATCTATTAGCTTTTGTAATTGTTCCCTGTTTTATCCTTCTAATAATACTAAACTATCCTTGTAGGTTCTAGCTTCTGTTTAGTAGAGTACAGGAGTACATCTATTAGCTTTTGTAATTGTTCCTGTTTTATCCTTCTAATAATACTAAACTATCCTTGTAAGTCCTAGCTTCTATTTAGTAGAGTACAGGAGTACATCTATAAGATTTGTAATTGTTCCCTGTTTTATCCTTCTAATAATACTAAACTATCCTTGTAAGGCCTAGCTTCTGTTTAGTAGAGTACAGGAGTACATCTATTAGCTTTTGTAATTGTTCCTGTTTTATCCTTCTAATAATACTAAACTATCCTTGTAAGGCCTAGCTTCTGTTTTCCAAGATTAAAGAGATATAAAATATATAAAATATAAACCTCAAATATAGTTGGTGTCTGGGCACAATAGTTAAGGATTAAATTCTAGGAGTATATACAAAAAAGGAATAAATAGAGATAAACATAGTTTCAATCATGAATTGTGTCTGAATATGCTGTATTTCACAGGAATCCAGGCCGGTATTGAAAATCATGCAACAATTTTCAAGACCGGGGCAACTTTAAAGTGTCACAACTCGTAGACCGTTTTTACCTCACTTGTTTGACTATATGTGATACTATAGATACACGAATAGGCCATGGTTTGGAAGAAAAGCTAAAATGTGAGAACAAGCTGTATGATTGAATTGAAAGGTGTGCACTGTGCATTGAAGAGCTGACTTTATAAAGTTTAGTTGATAAAAACTTGAGTTTTTAGGCCGACCATAAACCAGAGCTCAGAAATATAGAAATTTAATATCCATACAATTTTAATGTATACCTTCAATTCAAATATAGGAAAATGTTAAAAAATTTAGTCCTTGGCTTTACATTTATCAAATGAAATAATTTTTAAAAATAAGAATTGCTTTATGTGATGTTTTGTTGTCTTGCTTTCATGCATGCCTTATATACATGTTGAATCTTAAAGGGACTGTGAACGCATTTTAAAGTGACTCTTCAAGCAAATATAACAATGCCCGATTCACAACAATACCCTTGAAACCTTTATACCTTTATCTGATCAATAATGTAAAAGATATTTTTTCTAGGTTGAAAAGTGTTCAACTCTGATAATTCATTTGTATTTTTCTGCAGATCCCACTTTTGTAGAGATACCACTATTGTAAAAAATCAGTTTTTAATATAATAAAAATTGATATCCAAACCTTTAATACCGTTGTTAATCAGGTATTGAAATCTTTGTATGGAGGGTCACTTGAAACTACGCTTACAGCCCCTTAATAGCTAAACTTGATTATTTATTAGAATTATATTTAATTTCATTAGAAACACTGAGTTGGAAACATATTGTATACAATTCTTAAGAATTTAATTCTTTTTATCTAGTTACACAGACTTTAATCACCATGATTACTTTTTTCCACTGTACGTTTTCCATTTTTCTATAGATCGGTTCAACTACTGCCAAGTTATCCCTAGGTTTAGTTCACTAAACAGATTGTTTTTGCTCGGTCCAAACTTCTAGCTTTCCGTTCCTGTCCATTCTTTTTCATTCTTCATAATGTTTTTCTATCCATTTATTCTTCTTCATTTCTTCCTCTTCTTATTCATTCGATCATTTTTATTAGTTTTCTCCTTTGTTCATATTCATTGATTTTTCTCCATTTATTTCTATTCATATTCATTCATTTTCTCCATTTAATCTATTTATTCATTTTTATTCATTTCTTTCTATTCATATTTATTAATTCTTTTTCATTTCTTCCTATTCCTATTCCTTTATTCTTATTCATATTCATTCATCCTCTCATTATTCCTTAATTCTTCCTCTTCATATTCATTTACTTTTCTTTATTTCTTCCTATATATCCATTCATCCTTGTTCATAATTCCTAAATTTTTACTATTCCTAATTATTTCTTCTTCTTCATTTTGTCTCTATTCATATTCATTTATCCTCATTCATTATTCCTTAATTCTTCCTATTCATATTCATTTCTTCTTCTTCATTTCTTCCTATTTGTAGTAATTCATTCTTCTTAATATCTTCTTTTTCCTATTCATCCTTCCTCATTCATTATTCATTAATATCTTCCATTCCTATTCATTCATTATTCTTAATTTCTTCCTTTTCCTATTTATTCATCCTTATTTATTATTCCTTAATTCTTCTTATTCATATTAATTTCTTCTTTTTCATTTCTTCCTATTTCTAATAATTTATTCTTCTTAATATCTTCTTTTTCATATTCATTCATCCTCATTCATTATTCCTTAATTCTTCCTATTCCTATTCATTCATTCTTCTTAATTTTTCCTTATTTATATACATTCATTCTTCTTCATTTCTTCCTTTTTATATTTATTCATCCTCAATTATTATTCCTTAACTCTTCCTTTTACTATTCATTCATTCTTCTTCATTTTTGCCTATTTATCTACATTCATCCTTATTAATTTCTTCCTTTTCCTATTCATTCTTTCATTCTTCTCATTTCTTCCTATCTTCACTTATACTTCTTTATTTCTTCTTTCATTCTTCTTCATTTCTCCCAATTCATCATTCAATTTTCATTTCTTTATTCCTATTTATATGCATTCATTCTTCTTCATTTCTACCTATTCATATCTAATTATTCTTTTTCAATTTTTCCTATTCATGTTGATTCATTCTTTTTTATTTCTTTCAGTTCATATTCATCCCTTCTATTTCATTTCTATCTATTTCTTCTTAATTTCTTTCTTTGATCATATTCTTTAAAATTGTTTGTTACAGAACAAGCAACATTTTGTTCAATGATCAAAATGCGGCCGGGATTAAAATTCTATCAAATTCATCAAACAACTTATTTGATTTAATTTCAATCTACTTAAAACTCTCTCCAATCAGAATAGATGTATTACTTATTTTGTACATTTGTACGAACGAATATTACAAATTCTGTAGAAAAATCAAATAAATCTCCAGAAATAGATAAGATAAAGCTAGCAATTTATATGAATGTTAAGTAGATAAAATGACTTTTGTAGGATTATGTATATTGCATCCAGCAGAAGAAATATGGGAATCAATTGTAAAACATAAATACAGGATAAACTATACAAAGTGTAATTGCATGATGTTTAACTCTGCTAATACTATCATCTGCAGGTTAATTTTAGGATTTCTGCAGTTTTCATTATATTGAATAGAAGAGTCGAATGAAGATATGTGTACACTGTACAGCTAAACTAACAATACGATAGTGTCAACATTTGAAGGTCAACCTGTGAACCATTAATCTTTATTTGGACTTTACTTGTCTGCCTGTCTAGTTTTTCTCGTTTCTTTTGAATAACTGTAAGCCCACAATTTTTGAGGCAATTCATATGTCCCCAGTGAGGGTCGAAGTTGAAAAGCTAGCCCAGAAAAGATGTAGAAATTTATTAGTTTTGAATGGAGGGGGGGGGGGGGAGATCATCCCAGCGATCATTGCTACAATTTTATTTATAAAGATCATATTAAAATTCTACAATTCTACTTACCAGGAAAACAAGATTTAGAACAAAGGTAAAGTATTTCAGAGTCCTTTTAGAGCATTCTTGTTCTCATGGAGTCCTTTTAGAGCATTCTTGTTCTCATGGAGTCCTTTAAGAGCATTCTTGTTCTCATGGAGTCCTTTTAGAGCATTCTTGTTCTCGTGGAGTCCTTTTAGAGCATTTTTTGTTCTCGTGGAGTCCTTTTAGAGCATTTTTTGTTCTCGTGGAGTCCTTTTAGAGCATTTTTTGTTCTCGTAGAGTACTTTTAGAGCATTTTTGTTCTCGTGGAGTGCTTTTAGAGCATTTTTTGTTCTCGTGGAGTACTTTTAGAGCATTTTTGTTCTCGTGGAGTCCTTTTAGAGCAATTTTTGTTCTCGTGGAGTCCTTTTAGAGCATTCTTGCTCTCATGGAGTCCTTTTAGAGCATTCTTGTTCTCATGGAGTCCTTTTAGAACATTCTTGTTCTCATGGAGTGCTTTTAGAGCATTTTTTGTTCTCATGGAGTCCTTTTAGAGCATTTTTTGTTCTCATGGAGTCCTTTTAGAGCATTTTTTGTTCTCGTGGAGTACTTTTAGAGCATTTTTGTTCTCGTGGAGTACTTTTAGAGCATTTTTGTTCTCTTGGAGTACTTTTAGAGCATTCTTGTTCTCATGGAGCACATTTAGAGTATTCTTGGTCTTACGGAGTAATCTTAGAGCATTATTGTACTTATGGAGTACTTTTAGAACATTCTTGTTCTTATTGAGTACTTTCAGAGCATTCTTGTTCTGATGGAGTACTTTTAGAGCATTATTGTTTTTATGGAGTACTTTTAAAGAGTAATACTCCTAAAAAGAGATTAAGTTTCATTCTAGTTCTCTCTGAACTATTGTGAACTAGTATAAAAGTATGCTTGTTTCCACATTTACAACGCTGATATAGTTTTCAAAGAACATCTTGGATCACTTTTCACTTTGGGAGCTAATTTTCATGTCACTTTTAACTCAAAATCAAAGTCTTAAGAATATTTTTCTGTTTTCTTTATTTTCTTATCTATTATCCCTTTCAGGGCATAGTTTTTTTCTCATTAATTGTGTTTTTGTTCTTTATCAGCAGGTATTTTAATTCTTAAACCAATCGTATATTAAAGTTAACAGTCTTGTTGGAAAAGTTAATTTATTTTAAAACCTCTTTCATCAGTTCACTGGTTCCCTAGCTCACTAGCTCACTAGCTCACTAGCTCTGCTTTAGGAGTTAATTCGACAGCTTTCTTATTTTGATCCTCATTACATTTTTCTTCGAAATCTAAAATATAAATTTGATTTTTTTAAAGTTGACGTAAATTTTTTTTTAATTAAACTACGACATCAGTCTGCAAAGAAGTTTGTGGCAAAATCTTTATTTCTTTTCATCAAAACAGTCGAAGTAAGTTGTCAACCATTTACAACAAATTATACTCTTGATCTTTTTAAAAGATGTTTTTGGGAGTTGTTCTCCTTTTTTATTTTATTTCATGATTTTTCAACTGTTTTGTATTTTGTTAATATTGTGCTGCTGGGGTGAGCTCTTGAAATAATGCAGCTGAAATTAAACGGTTTTCAGTTTCCCTTTACCTTTGTTTTAATCCAAACCCCATAGTTTATAGGGGATTGGGGATTATGTGTCCCCCAAATCCAATACTTTATAATCCACCAGTAATCCACTAGGGGGGATTAAAATGGTTTTATCCTTCTTTCTTCACCACCATCAGATTAAATCATTTAAATATCTGAAATTTAAACATTTTACGTAAAGTTTTTGAAACATTAGAAATAATTTCCTTTTTTCGACATAGGATAGTATTTTCACAGATTTAAATAATTTAAAAAATTGACTTGGGACCGAATGAAATCAATGTGCACTGCCTACCACCGTTTCAAATTAGAATCACAGATTTAAATCCTTCCTTAATCTTTAACTTTGAAACGGTGATACAAATTTGAACCGGTAGCAGGTAGCTAAATAACGTAGCTCAAATTCATTAAATTGGGTCCCTAGCTGAACATAGGTCAATTGCAGCAAAATAAAATTACAAAATGAATAACAAAAACGACATTCATTCTTCAGTTTAATGGTTCTAATCAGAAAATGTAGTATTTTTGCATTTGTTTATTTAATTGATAATATTTAAGAATTTGTATTGAATTATAAAAATTGTGTTTGCATTTCTGTAGAATATATTTTGTAATGGTGTAGAGATAAAGAGGGAATACAATCAAAATAACAGTCCTCTTTATTGTTTATGGCATTGCTTTGCTATGCAAACTATACTAAACAATGTTTGGAATAATCGCTTCAATCTTGTCTGAATCTGCTTTGAAGGGAATGTGAGTTTTTTTCTAAGAAAAAGTGTAAAATTGAATAAAAAGTCTAATCAAATCTAATTTTATAAACTATTTTTCCGCTGAAAATATAACAGGTTGAGTATGAAACAAATATCAGTTCGATTGATTAACATTCGACCTTAAATATTTCAAACTATGAATTCTGTTCGATCAAATATTCTATCAAAGGTTTCCATCAGGTTGAAAAGATTTCAGGATTAGAGAATATTTGAGTTTTGGCAAAAACTCAATTCTTTTGTTAAAATAATTTTTAACAAGTAGAAAAAGTAGAAAAACCACTTATGCTATATAAACAGGCAAATAGAAATACAAACAGTAAACTAATTAAAAACGTATTTTTAAATATTTAAATATTTATTCTCAAAGTTAAAGAAAACCTTGTAAAAATGTATTTATCTGGTTTAATAATATGCATTGTTCACTTGAATTGGAAGAGTGGTATATTTCAATGTTAAAATAGGTTAGAAATTAGAATTGATCAACTTTTTTAATAATTAGGATTGTTCAATTTTAAAACTGTGCAATGTACGTTCAAAGATTACATGTGTGTTCTTATCAGCTAGGGTTCCTGATTTTAAAAATCTTTTGGGTTCGATGCTGATAGGTATTAAAAATCTTTTGAGTTCGATAGGTATTAAAATTATTCTACGTTTAAGAATTATTAATATTAAATTATTGCAGGATTATATTATTCTTTTAATATTAATAGATATTACATAAAATACGCAAGATAAAATGAACAATAATATTTTTTCAGTTTTAGTTTTTGTTTATTCTCAAAGAAATAAAATTACTGCTATGATTGTGAAATAAAAGAAACTTCTCGATCTTATACATAGTTTAATTTATAATAAGTTAAATATCGACTATAATCGGCCTATTTCTTGATTTTTTTTGCTGTTTTAGTCCATTCGTCAAAGATGAATAAATGGTGATCACTTATTGAATTTAAAAACACATAGAAGCCTTTATCATCAATGCAGAACTAGACATGTCCCTTTCAGAAAGAAATCCCGAAACCCCTGGAGATTGGGAAAATAATGATGAAAGACTTTTGTTATATTGTCAAGATACGGTTTCTGTGTTGGACATAATCTCTGGAGCCAGATCCATCCTGGCGGCACCCTGGTTCAACCGATATTTGTATCTCCGTCAGAGATTGAAACCATACTGAGCCTCTGATATACTTATCCGTCGGAGACACACTTGGTTTGGGTTAATCCTGAACCTTTGGTTCCCGGTACAAACTACATACATGGTTCATAATATAGAGCTCCGATACATGGTTTATTCTAACCTAGAGCTCAGATACATGGTTCATAAGATAGAGCTCCGATACATGGTTTATTCTAACCTAGAGCTCAGATACATGGTTCATAAGATAGAGCTCCGATACATGGTTTATTCTAACCTAGAGCTCAGATACATGGTTCAAAAGATAGAGCTCCGATACATGGTTCATAATATAGAGCTCCGATACATGGTTCATAATATAGAGCTCCGATACATGGTTTATTCTAACCTAGAGCTCTGACACATGGTTTATTCTAACCTAGAGCTCAGATACATGGTTCATAATATAGAGCTCCGATACATGGTTTATTCTAACCTAGAGCTCTGATACATAGTTTATTCTAACCTAGAGCCAAGATACATAGTTTATTTTAACATAGACCTCAGATACATAATTTGTTCTAACCTAGACCTCAGATACAGTGTTTATTATAACCTAACGATTTGATACATGTTTTAACCTGGAGCTCAGATACATATTTTATTCTAACCTATGGCTCAGATACATAGTTTATTCTAACCTAGAGCTCAGATACATAGTTTATTCTAGCCTAACGATTTGATACATGTTTTATTATATCCTAGAGCTCAGATACATAGTTTATTCTAACATAGAGCTGCAATAATGTTTTATAATCTAACCTACAGTTTTTAAAAATTAACGGAATTAAGAGTCCGTTAACGAACGAAAAACTTTAAAGTTTGAAATGGTTTACGAACGGAAACATTGAGATCAAAAGAACGGAAAATGCCTATAACGAACGGAACGTTCAGTTCTGAGCTCTAAATAATGAACGTAACTAACGGTTAACAAACGGCTTTTTAAAAAAGTCTGAACGCTCCTTTTTATAAATTCTTAAAGTTTAACCAAAACTTGTGATTGTTACCTAAATTTTATTAAAATTTAGTTTGGTGCTAATATTCTTTGTTCTCCAGAGGGTAGATTATACTCTTTATACACTTTATTATTATTGCATTAATCTTCTTATCCTGAGGAGTGAAAATATATTCATACAGGGTTCAGGGGTGCAACTTTAAAGGGACAACACACTTATTTGAATACAGGGTTCAGGGGTGCAACTTTAAAGGGACTGTACACTTATTTAAGTACAGGGTACAGGGGTGCAACTTACACTTATTTAAATACAGTGTTCAGGGGTGCAACTTTTAAAGGACTATACACTTATTTAAATACAGGGTTCAGGGCTGCAACTTTAAAGGGACTTATTTAAATACAGGGTTCAGGGGTGCGACTGTTAAAGGGACTGTACACTTATTTAAATACAGGATTCAGGGGTGCAATTTTAAAGGGACTTCTTTAAATACAGGGTTCAGGGGTGCGATTGTTAAAGGGACTATATACTTATTTAAATGCAGGGTTACCC